TTGAATAGTGTTGTGGAGCTTCCTTCGCTCCATTTCTCCAAGGTGGAGCTCTTCTCTTTCCCGGGCCACTGTTTCCTCAAGGTTCCTGACCATTTCTTGGCTCTCCTTCAAACTGTCCTGACACTGCCTCAGTGTAGAAGTCTGAATGGCGAGCTGAGTCTGAGAAAGACACGGGAAGAATTTGACAGAATCAGATTAAACAAAGCGGATGTTAATTAAAGGTGGAAATGTGGCTGTATAAATATTTACCTGTATATTGCAGAGCTCAGACTCCAAATGATCCCGGAGTCCTTCCAAAACCTTATGCTCCTCGTTTAGCTTACTGAGGTCTTTCTTAAGACCATCTCTCTCTGTAGAGGTTTGCGCCAGGTCATCTTTCACAGTAGCCAGCTTTTCCAGCTCCTCTTCACAATCCCTACAACAGAATCAGGAATATTATCGGACAAATAAATAAAAGACCACCAGGTCGAATCATTATGGAGTTAATTTTAACATGCTTACCCAAGACGCTTATTGAGACCTTTGTTCTCATCTTCGATTTCAGCCTTATGCTTTTGGGCTTTGGTTATAGAGTCCTTCAGATGATCGTTTTCCAGATTTACCGATTTTATTTTGCTCTGGTAATTCTGGACTTTGGCTTCCATGTCACTCACTTTGCCCTTCAGGTCCCATCCTGGCCTCCGCGACACACCTAAACCGGCAGCTGCTGAAAGTGGACAAATTACCCATTAGGCATCTATTTTATTATACTGTATCATAATACTTAGACCAAAATGTTTGACCCAGATATGCATGCATGTTTTACCTTTAGGTACTGCTGCAACTGGTTTTCTCTGGTCACCTTGATGCAAAGACAAAGTCGATGTTAAGCTGACATTCACATTTTGCATTTACTGTGGTTATAATATTGACACAGCTCATTGATATTTGCAGATCAATACAGTTTGTACTAATGACCCGATTTTAGTAGTGTTAAGTGAGGTTTTTTGTGTTTCTGATCAGTTAAAGCATGCGTTTTGCAATACCTCTTGCAGGGGCAACGGCCACTGTTGCAGCTCCAGTTGGACGAAGAGCTTTGACTGAAAAAGAAAAGAGACAACATGAAGACCCCATCTGCTATTTTACTCAAATGGCCCCCAAAAAACTAAAACGAGATGTTAAAGGTCCCATATTGTACACCTTTCTGGAGTTTTATTTTAGGTTTTGATGTCCTTAAGAATATATATTTGCAGTACAAGTACCAAAAACCATCTCAATATATTTTTACAGCTCCTCTCTCAGGAGCTCTGCTGAGAACAGGTCGATTTTGGCTTGTCTAATTAATATTCATGAGCTCTTCTGATTGGCCTGTTGTGTTCTGAGTGACACACGGCCAGGCCAAACACAGGGTCAGCCGACGTCACAGCGCTAGCTGGAGGCAGCAAAACAAAGGGGAAACTGGAGGCAGCCCATTCAAACCAGC